AAAAAAGCCCCACTCCTCTTTTTTTTTTTTCTTTTTGCCTGAGCAGCCGAGCCCAACTCATCAGCAGCTGAGGCAGGAGCAGGAGGGGTTTTGGAGTTAACTGCATGCAGGAAATCTCTCACATCCTGAGTCCCAGCTCGCTCCTCTCTGTAACTGTATATTATGGGGCTGCTCTCCAGCCCCAGCTGATGAAAGTTTTGTCTCTCTCAGTCTGGGCTGCGATGTCAAAGCGCCTCCACGCAGCGCAGCCGCGCTCCCCCCGTGCGCTGCCCGCGGCCCGGCTCCCCGCGCTGCCGCCGCTCCTGCCGCTGCTTCTGCCGCTTCTGCTGCTGCTGGGCCCGGCCTGCCTGCCGTCCGCACCGCTCCGAGCCCGCGGTAAGTCCCGCACGGCCCCTGCCGAGGTTTTAGCGAGCTCCACCGGTCCATTTTAGCCGGGGAGATGGATCGAGAGCGGCGCTCCCCCCGCCCCGCCGCGGGCACCGAGCGGGGAGGTCCCGGCCGGGCACACGCGGAGCTGTGGAATTCCCGCTCCTCCGCGCYGCTTCTCAGAGTTTTCCGGGGAAAAGTCCGCTCTGCAGCCCCCCATCCTCTTGGGGTGCCATCCCTCGGCACCCCCAAACCCGCTGGTCCCTTCCCTGCACCCCAATCCCCGCGGGGTCCCATCCCCCGGCACCCCCATCCCTGCACCCCAAACCCGCCGGGTCCCAGCCCTGCTCCCCAAATCCCCTGTCCCAAATCCCCTATCCCAAATCCCCTGCCCCAAATCCCCTGTCCCATCCCCTGCGAGTGCCCCTGATCCCATGGAACCCCCCCATTTGTGTGCATTCGGGGGTGCCCTGCAGGGTCCCGGCGGGGGGAAATTCTCCTCCCACTCAAAGATCCCCTACAAACAGCCCCCGGGGCTGAATTCGAGTCTGGTCACAGTTTGGGCTCTTGTTTCCAGCTGGGAAGAATTGCGTGGAAAAGCCAAATAGCGCTGGTAAAAAGTGTCCTGGCCGGGTAAAAGTTTTCTCGTYGCTGCTGCGTTCATTCAAAGCGAGCTGCGGGCGGGGAGCGCTGTGCTGCCCGTGCTCTGCATGGGGAGCAGCCTGACAAGGGATTCTCTCTTTCTACACCGAATTTGGGGTTTTTTCTGGAACCCTCCGAAGTGTTCGGGTCCTCTCCCCTTCGTGAAGCAACAGCTGACAATGTACATGTAATGTGAGAGGAAGGAAATGTAGCAGCACTGAGGTGTGTGTGTGTCCCTGTGTGTTTCAAAAAACTTGTGTATTTAGTTTGGTGGTTTTTTTTTTTTAATTGTAACTTGACACTTTGTCAATATTTGTTTATCTCCAAACTGATTGACAGCAGCTTTTACTGGGACTTTGGCTCTGAACTTGMTGAGAGAAAAGCTGGGGAGGTGCTTTAGCACCCCACTTTCCTGGGGAAAGGACAAGGTGGTGAATTTGATCAAGCACCTGAAATTTGAATGAATTAACGGGAGCTGCAGCTTTGCCTTTGTGAGGAATCCCTATTTCTCTTTGCCAACACTTGTATTTACACAGAATCAGTGAGTTTGGGATAAAGTTTGGGATAAAGACAGTGGAAATGCCTTGGCAGATGAGGAGAAATAGGGGTGCCCTGTGGTTGTTCCCTTTCCATGGTTTTGGGGGACAGCGTGGGAGCCACTGGGGTTGGCCAGACCCCTCCATGGCATGGGACTTCACGTGCAGTTAGGAAAGTTTGAGGTCAAATCCTTCAAAGCAGTTGTCCCTACAATAATTAAAGGCTAAACTGTGGGTGACTTGGCTCCAGCACACAAACGAGCAAGCAGAGTGGGAAGAGGGGGTGGAAATCCGGTTTCTTGTAGCTCAGAATTCCCTCAGAGCCAAGCTGAAGCTCTAAGGTTACGCTCACATTGATGATTTTAGCTCTGTGTGAAGTTTGTGTCAGCTGCTYGTCTCTGTGGTGTCTTTAGGTGCCTTTATGGGGCTTTAGATGTCCAATTTGGGCAGCTGTGGTGGTTCCTGCAGCTCAGCTGAATTTTGGATTTGCTTTCCTGTATCTTCTGCTCCTCTTCTTCCTCTAACATATCTGTAACTTGTTCTGTTCCAGCCGCAGCCAGTGTGCTCAGCGAGCATCCCCTGCCTTAATTCCACTTTTTCCTGGGGAAGCACAGCCCAGCTTTAGCCTTGCCAGAGTTTGTGCTGCTCTCTTGGTTGTGGAGGTGCTGAAAGTTCCAGYGATTCATTTCCACACCGGCCACGCTCCTGGTCAGGCTGGCACGAGTCTTCCTGGGCATTCTGGAGCCCTTCAGGGCATCCTGACCCTGCCAGGACATCCTGATTGTTCCATAAAAAACGTGCTTAGTGATTAAGAGAAGTTTGAGTTATGATATGACTGAGAATTGTCTTTGAAATGTGGCAATCATGTGGGTCTGCCTGAGTGACAGGTCTGTTGTTAAAGAGAAATTGTCGGGTTGTGGGTTAGACAACTTGAAATTAGCCTTGTTGCTCATTGTTTATTTCCAGTTTTTATGGTTTTACTGYTGCCCTTCTGGTTTTCAGTCTTTCTCTGGATTCCCAAATAAAAAGGAAAGGGAACAGGAGAGCTGGCCTCAACCAGGCCAAATGAGTTCTGCTGTCCTTGTGGAGTGGGATATAGAGCAGGATAAGATCTTATCCTACAAACTCAGTTAAATACCTTAAAATCTATCCCTGTGTAAGGTTTTTGTGGTCAAGGCCTTCCTCCACCTGCAGGGCAGACCAAGTGATGCTGTGGATAGGTAAACTCTTGAGTTTGTGTGTGTGTAAACTTTTAAACTCTTCTAAACATTGTGTGTTAGCTGGGGAAACAGCAGAAAAAGGAAAAAATACAATGATAGAATGGTTTGGGTTGGAAAGGACCTTAAAAAAAAAACCATCCAGTGCCACCCCTGCCATGGCAGGGACACGTTCCACTGTCCCAGGCTGCTCCCAGCCCTGTAACCTGGCCTGGAACATCTCCAGGGATGGAACAGCCACAGCTTCTCTAGGTATGAAAAAATGGAAATCCTAAAATTGTAGTCCAAAATCTTTACCTTCAATTAAAATCACTTTCCTCTCAGATTTTAATTTGCTGGTGATTGCAGCTGCCTTAGGTCTAATGGAAATAAATTGCAGGGGAAGGAATCTTGCTTCATCTCTTGCTCTAAACCTGATTTCTCCAGCACACTCTGCATTTCAGAGCTCACTTCTCAACCCTGCCTTCTTTCCAACTGCTGCAGCATTTGTGGCAGATACCTCTGGTGTGTGTACAGTCACCCCCTGTGGGATGATTGTCCCTTTCAGGTCCCCTGCAGGTAGCCTGGCACCAGCTGSCACTGCCCATGRGGCTCCAGAGATCCCAAAATCCCAYTTTGGCTCCAGAGATGCCAAAATCCCCCAGCACAAGAATGTTGTTCCCACTCTCCAGCAGTGTTTGCATCCCTAACCTGCTGCTCTTTGGGAATCTGGCAGGTTCTGCCCTGCTGCTTCCTCGGGATTTGTCCAAAGGTCTCTGTGCAGAGACAAAGAGCGTCCCTGAGCTGATGATTGACAGGAGCTGATGATTGACAGGAGCTGATGATTGACAGGAGCTGATGATTGACAGGCTGTGTTTGGGAGGGCTTTGCACCATTCTGGCAGCCCCAATGGGATTTCTCTGATGACACTGGGGGGCTGCAGCACACCAGGGCTGTGTTTTTTCTGTTGATCCCACTGAGGATGTCTGATCATCTCTTGCTCCCACTGAGGTCCTTGCTCGCCGCCCGTGATGATGAAATTGTGTTCTGAAAAGGCTCAGCTCGTGTCCAGGCTGATTTTGGTCGTGCAGCAGCTTTCCCAGCCCTCCATTCTGCTCCTCCTGACAGATTTATCCCAGCAGAGCTCACCCTGCCAGGACTGGCCAAGGAGCTGGGCTGGGCTCTGCTTTCGTGCTGCTCCTGAGCCTCCTCGGGTGAGCTGAGCTGTCTTGTGGGACTCACCGGGCTCCTGGCATGGGTTTCTCTTCACTTGTGCTGGGAGAGTGTTAAAAAACAGGAATTGCCATTTTCAGGGTGTTTGGGAGTGAGTCTGGAGTTCTGTCAGGCTCTGCCATGCCAGCTCTGTGCCTCACACAGCGCCCCATCCTGCTTAGGGTGCCAGGCTGTTCAATTGCAGGGATTTTTTTAAATTTAATCCTTCTTTCTGATGACTTTCCTTCCTCTACAATCTGAAGTTTTACTCCTCATCATCCCCGATCTCACTTTCCCTGTTGCCTGCACTTTGTACCTACATTTCAAGCAGCTTCTCAAATTTCTCCCTGGACAGAAGCACCTCATTTCTACAATTTTGGAGAGTTACAGGCCTAAATCACACCTGCAGAGCCTTCTCTTAGGTCCTGCTGAGTCTCCAGGGCAGATCTGTGGCAAAGTAAATTAAAAAAAATAAATAAAAGTAAGTTAAAACCTCACAATCAGGGCGAGTCTGTGAGAGTTGCAGCTGATTCTTGACAAGGACAGTGCAGTCCAAGAGATCAGTCCCTTTTGTTTCTGGTTTACACAGAGCAAAGTGCTTCAAATATATTAAAGTTTCATCATTTTAATATCCCACTAAGTGAGAAAAGGGGCTCCATCCCATCCATCCCTGCTCCAGGATGCTGACCCTTCTCTTTTTAGTGTCACACAGGAGTTTGAGGTATCAAACCTCAGCATATTGATATGTTGGTATCAAGTGATGTGATTAACTAAATCATTTAATCAGAAATTAAGCTGCTAAATCCCTTCAGCTCATCCCACTAATTTTTTTACACCCCACATAAATGAGTTTGCTGCTTTCCATGTCCCAGAGCTTGGATCAGGAATAGCTTGGAGGCAGGAAATTGTCCTTTCACAAGGTCAGCTCGCTAAAAGCAGTGATTAGAAGAACAAATTCTTTCTTGTCCCAAATCTATGAAGTAACAAGGCAAGAAGTGAAATGTTTCATGGATAATGCACATCAAGGCAGAAAAAGCTGGGTGCAGAATTTGGCACAAAAGTATCTTTAACTTATTTATTTTAAGATATTTGTTAAAAGGAACTGTRTCAGCCCCTGGAAATTTAGTTTAATAGTATACATCACATGCATTAAGAGAAAAACCTTCTGACAGTGGCGGAAGTTTCTCACTTCTTTTGGATGTGTTCTAACCCTGAAAGCAGCTGGAAGATAAATAAATCTCATGTGTAATTGCTTACCTCTGGAAAAGTATATTAAGATGCAAACTTCACCAAATCTAAGTATTTACGGGATTGTTTGGATATTGTTCTGTAAAACAAAATTAAAAATGGCAAAATCTGGGCTGTATCATTCAATAGGATGTGGGACTGAGTTTTCTTTCCTTTCGTGTTTCAAAAACCAGAG